GCTTCATCCACGCTCCTGTCCATGAGTCGAGTTGAAAGTAGTGATGTGTAGTTCTGAAACATTGATTGGCTCATGTTGTAATTAAACTTTAATGAATTGTATGTCTCTTTGGTTTGGACAGTCATTCAACTTAGATGTAATCGATGCTATTTATTAGTAGGACCATGAATCGTGTTATTAATGTCTTGCTTTTCTATTCCGATCCTTTTGTTGCATACTTATATATTGCTTATGTATGTATTGTTTGTTGTTTGGCTTGTGCATAGAGATGTCGTCGTATGTCGTGTACAAGGGTAAGGTTCCCGGAGTCTACAACAACTGGGAGGAGTGTCAGAGACAGGTTCACCGTTTCAGCGGTAAAAGTTACAAAGGGTACACCACTAGGGCGGAGGCGGAATCTAGATACGCCCGCTATCTAGCGGGAGAGAGGAGGGAGCGTTGGAGGAACCGGATGAAGACCAGTTTCATCGTGATGATGCTCATCGTGATGACCGCAGCTCTCTTCTATGTGATGGTAGTTTAGATGATCGATATCGACTTGTAATGTGAAGACAAGCTCGATACTCGCGGTCTCGAGACTTGTAATGTTTTATCTTTGTTCGGTCTTTTGAATTCGGAGACTAATATGATGAATTGTATTCAGAGACTAATCTTCTATTGTATTCGATGAATCTGATGTTGCTGTGTGCTACTTTCTATATTCTGCCAAATAATATATTTTGTAACCTGTGCAAAAATCAGAAAAGAAAAAAATAAAACCTAATATTCATACTAATGGCGCATCACTACAGATTGCGCCATTAGTATGCCAAAGTATACTAATGGCGCATCACCAAAGAGTGCGCCATTAGTATGCCAAGTATACTAATGGCGCATCCATCCGCAGTGCGCCATTAGTGTGCCAAAGCACATGGTTAAATATGGCCCCTGGGAGGCATACTAATGGCGCATGGTGTTATATACTAATGGCGCATTGTGTGGTGCACCATTAGTATACCAGATACTAATGGCGCACCAGTGGTGCGCCATTAGTAATAAATACTAGTGGCGTGATACTAATGGCGCACCAGTGATGCGCCATTAGTAGGCAAAACTGGTGCGCCATTAGTAGGCCTTTTCCTAGTAGTGCAGAGTCAACTTAAATTCTTTCCAAGTGGTTACTCCCTGCCATCCATTGATGGTTTGGTACATCTTCCACCAAGTAGCAGCACCTCTTTCAAAGCACTTGAACAGCATGTTGGGTCATATCCTTTCCAACTATGGGGTTATTCTTCATATAATTCTCCATGTTGTGAATCCATCGGTCCGTCTCCAATTGACTCATCGGTCCAGAAAATACAAGCTCATCTCCATTCGTCTTCTATTGGGTCCATGGGTTTTGGGGTGAGATAAGAGAGATGGAGAGGGATACACATAGTGCAAACAATAGTTTTGAAGAGACATGTTTTATTTTTTTGGCTGCCGGAAAGCATCAAACAAAATGACAGCTCACAATCGTCGCATCTAACGTATGTATATAACAGGGGTTTGGTCTTCTAAAGGTCAATAAATCTTCAAGGTCGCCAAACTCTTCAAGTCTTTTTCATGTCTCCGATGGCTTATTCAGATCATGCTTGTCCTTCTCAAGTTCTTTTGCCATATCATCTCTGTTGACGCGAAGTCTCTCATGATGTCCTTTAATATTCTGAAGTTGCATTCCAAACTTCTGGGTTTCAACATCCCTGGCATCAACCATGGTCTTACTGTCCTTAAGTTCCTGGTGAATCTCCGGTATAAAGGTTTTGCATCCTCCAGCTTGGCTACTTTCAGCTTCTAGTTCCTGAGTTCTTCACAAAATTCTTCCTTGTCTAATACGGCTTCCTGGAGCTCCATCTTAAAATTCTTGATGTACTACTCCAGATCCTGGTCATACACCGACTAAGGTTAAAACTTCATTTTTTGCTGATAGGTGCTCCATTCGCCCTTTTGTCATCCAATCCTTTTGAAGAAATGCATGCTTAACTCAGCACGGTCACAAATAGCATAAGCGGGCGATAACATCATGGATAGCCATGTCTATGCCCATGTCTCTGCCATGAGCTATCAGTCCATAGTTGATATCTCCTGCCTTAGTGTTTTCTTGACACAAACTTTGATTTTTTAACTCTCCGTGGTCCAGTCTTTCTCCAACACACCTTGATCTCGGGTATTGACAGCTTCAATAGTGTGACAATTCCATAAGGGCAGCATTTCCTAGGTCATACAAATCTAGGAATTCTTTAGAGCCATCAAATTCTCCTAGTCTTTGGAGTCCTCAACCATTGTAGTTTCCATTATTATAATTTACGGTAAAATCCTCTTCATTCTGAAGTGGTCTTAGTTGTCTGATATCTTGTACTTCTTGTAGTGGTCTCATCAGTCAAATCCTCGTCTGGTCAAAAGGGGAAAGGGGTATGGTCTAACTAAAAGGGAATATTTTGATAAAGCTCAGAAACGAAGAGAAGTAAAAGATCCTTTTGAAAAGAAAGTTGTAGAGAAAAATCTTTCCTATGGGCTTGCCAGTTTCTAGGGGTCACGTCCTACAGTCAACATGTGCTCTGATACCATCTTGTAGCGACCCGACCTCAGACGGTCAAGTCTCTGTGCTTAAGTGTCATTCCTGGATCGGTATGCTGACACACACAATACTCGAGGATTTATAACAGAGGTAAATCACATGTATAAAGTAACGTAAATACTATTACCTCAATCCAAATAGCGGAAGTAACAACTAGGTTGTGGATTCTCATCAACACCAATGGCAAAATGTTATAATAAAAAGATAGATTGATTGTTGTGTGATTGATTGAGTGAAATTCGAATCTTTTTGAAAGTTAAATGAGAGGGAATAAAAGGACTTTCCCAAACTTTCACCTTTTTGCATTTTGATCTCCGTGAATTCAAATTCTTTTCAAATACAAAACCCTCCACGGAAGATGATATGGCTTCTTCCATTTAATTTAATGAAAAGGGGTTTTTGAAAAGATTTGAATTTTATTTGGAAATATTTCAAATTCAGAAAATTTAAGCAACTCAATGATTTTCATGAGAGAAGATAAAATGACTTCTTCAAAATATATGCAATACGAGTTGGAAGTTTAAAAGGATCAAATTTAAAGTCCGTTTGAAATTATTTTCAATTTGGAGTTATTTGGGTTTTATTCAATTTATTTTTCTCCGAAAGTAAAATAAATGGTAAATAGGGTAAAATTATTCCCTACATCAGAAAGTTGGAGAGAAATAATTTTGAAATCATTTTGGTATTTATAAAATGATTTTTATTGGGTTTTATTCTAGAAGTAGCATTGTTTGAATTATTTGAATTTTTGTGAATTTTATTTGGCACTAGAGAAATGTTCATGTTGTAGAAAATCATTTTTTGGAAAATTTGCTATATTATATGCCTATATAAAATTTTAGTTTATTATCGTTATCCAGTTTTATTTTTTTGCTTATATATAAAAAAAGAAAAAAAATTACGCATGCGCGTGGAACTAACCGCCGCCCACATGCGTAGCATAGCAGTAGGCCGGCCCGTTTTTCTTTTGTTTTCTTTTGTCTTTTTTAATTTTATTTTCGTTAATGTTTAGTTTTTTTAAACAAATTTCAGAAAAAATAGACTTTGGAAAAAAATACAGCGCGCGGCCGGCCGAGGCCTTTAGGCCCGTGCGAGGCGTTAGCCTTTTTTTCTCTGTTTCGTATATTTTCGTCTATGTTTAGTCCCATATTGTCTAACCTTTGACCCTTAAACCTATTTTCCACCTATAAATATAGACCCATAGAGCCTCCAAAAATCATTCAGATCGATTCCCTCCAAAGTCGGAAAATCAATATTTTGGTTTGACTAGATTCATTTAAGAAAAATATATTTCTCCTTTCCGGCGCGACTTTTGGAAATTGTCTCTTCTCCCCAAAGTCGTTTTTTCTCTGTCTTATAAAGGTATCTTTCTTTGTTTTTCTTAATTTTATATACTTCCGTAATTTATTATTTCTAGACTAATACGATATAATAATTAGATTATCAATTAGTCTACGTATTTATACATTAGACCTTAGCCGTAGCTATTTTTCTTCCATAAAACAGCTTGGCTCTGATTTTTCAAATAGCCATAATTTTTCACTCGTTTATCCAAATTAGATGAAACAACTTCGTCTTGTTTTCACCTATCCAGTGAACCTGTCACATCAACTTTTTGAAATTTTGAAGTTTCGAATTTTGTTCAGATTCATATTCAAACTTCTTTTGAACATAACTTGAGTTTCGTAACTCCGATTTAGTTGATTCTTTTTGCAAATCGAAGCTCTTGACCTAAACTTTCTGATAAGGCCAAATTCACATAATTTTGGTATTGTTAGAAATTGTTTTATGTTGCAAAAGTTATTTGCTAGGTTTTGATGTTTTCCGAACTGTCTTCTTCGTTCTTCCCGATCTTCTGACACTACACCACGACACTACATTCCCTATAGACATGTGTTGGGAAAAGATACTATTGCCGTCCAACAGTTGATTGGGAAATGTTGTAACAGATAGTTGGTTGGGAAAACCAATAAACAGTAGCAGACCATTGGACGGGAATACCTGAACATTTAATGTCGAACTGTGGCTTGGGAAAGCTCGCATACACATCCATTTATCGGTCGGGAAATAACCCCGACCAACGGTCTGTGCCAAATGGGCCTGCGCGCGCGTAGAGAAAAAATAGCGCCAACATTTGGCCCAAGCCCGTGAAAGTTCCCCCCAACGCATAAGGCACCACTCGCGCGGAGCCAAATCCCTAATTCCCCTTTCCCATTCCCCACGCACGCCGCCCTGGGCTCTCCGCCATTGCCGCCGCCTTCTCCACGCGCCACCGCGCCATTCTACCGCCGCCGCGCGAACCTGCTAGACTGCTGCCCCACACCGCCTACCCCCACGTGCTCGAACCCTCTCATCTGCCCCGGTGCTCTCCCCTGACCACAAGAACTCTAGCGTCGTCACCGTCATGGCGCGCGCTGGGAAGATCCCGGGGGAGACGGGGTTCAACCTGCTGCAGAGGGACGTTGCCCTGTACTACAAGACTGTGCCGGCCGTGGTGAAGCACTCCTCGGAGGCGCTGCTGCTCGTGGTGTCCAACCCCGTCGATGTCTTCCCCTACCTCGCCTTGCAGCTTTCAGGGTTGGGTTCCAGGCGAGTGGCTTCATTTGCTCCTCCAAGTTCTGGTTCCTCATCAACGAGCCCCCCGCCATCAACACACAGGACGTGCAGGTAACTTACTAGACTGGAACCCATCCATGAATCCATCGGCCTGTTGCTCTCCCGATAAAAATTTCTCAGGTTCATAGAAATGCTTTACGAGTATTTGTTTTTTCTGAAAATCTAACTTGTTACTAGTTTGTTTGATGGTTTCCAGAAGAAGGTAGCATATGCAACAGGCCTTCCAGATACTCTTCATGTACTGATATTCTCATAGAAAATTCTTCATTGCCATATATATATTTTCCGTTGAATATCATTAAGCATTAGCTGTATGCTTTACGAGTAGAAGTTGATGCCTGGCTTCACATGCTACTTGTCATCCACTTTAAAGTGTGCTTGTGCTTCACGCCTTACCAGGAAGGAGTTCGGTTGACTGAATTTTTCTGAATGCATGCTTTCTCTGAACTGACTGAACACCATGTCTGAATTTTGTTGTCTGCATGCTTGCCTGGCTGTTGCACAAACCATATGTAGGAGGTCTCTGTCAAAAGAATGAAACGATCACCTACAAAAAATGGTTCCATCGATCCTTTAGTGCTGGCACTATGAACGTACTTGCTTGGTTCCATTTTAGTTCAGAAGACATGCTCCTGAATGAACATGCTACCATTGTTATGCGCAGTTTCGTGCTATTCGACGTATGAACACGTAACTAAAAGCAAGAGTGCACGAAATCTTCAGACATAGTTAGTGCTGATGACAGCCACTCCTTAATTTACCCACCACTCTTCGGAGTCATCAAATTAAACTTTTGTTTAGTTAATTCTGAAAGAATTACCTTAGCCATCACTAGTTGCTATTTGATTGATTACATTCATCGGGATATGAGCGCGATGAACATGTATTGCCGCCGGTGAGGTGTATTGGTCACGTGACATGCTAGCTTGAGGTTTTTAGTGGAAACCTACAACACAACAGACTTCTCTTTTGCTAGTTGCAACCAGAATCAAGGGTAAGAAGATCGCAAAAGATATGATTATATAGAGGCCATGTAGCAAAGGACCTTACGGTGAGCCAAAAGGTCACAAAATTGTATATCCTCCTTTTTAATATTAGCAACCCAATGTTTAGAGCATTTCTCAAATGCAGCTCCCATATGCTTCTGTACAAAGGACATGTAGGATTTTTTTAGCCCGACCAACATTTGAAAACAAAGGCAGGACATCAGTCGATGATAGTAAAGTCCCTAGAAATTCAGCAGATGCTATTTGTCCAGTTTACACTCATGTTTAATTTCTGCATAGTTTGTTTCCTAATTTCCTTTCCCATGTAATTATTATGTTGTTATTCTACATTCTGCATAGTACTTATCGGATTCAAGGCAGTAGTTATATAGTTGATTAGTTGTTACAATGTCTACTTCATATATATGTAGATTTGTGAAAGTATTTCTAAATATGCTACCAAGTTTAATGGAAGAAATCCTACAAATGAAATAGCAATAATGTTAGGCAAGGTGTGGGTGATGTCCTGCCTCCTTCTTTGTTCAATTTGCACTCCTGCCAGTGTCCTCACATAATAAATCTAATTAAATGAATTCGATATATTACTATATCTTCAGGACCAAATGTTACCCATGTTATGAATATTGATCTGCAATAGCATGTCCTTAATTGAAATTCCATGTATAGTATTTGTCAAAAGATGGAAATAACAAAATCTTTGTCGCAATGTTTTATAGTTTCATACTTCCATTTATCAGAGACAATACTGCTTGAAAGTATCATAACTCCACTGAGAGTGAATGAGTTTTAACCAGGAGTGTTGTGCTATAGGATTCCCAGACCACCACAGTGTCCCCTTCAACCGCGAACCAGTTTACTGCTGCGCCTCCGCAACCTTATGGGTCGCCGTAGTCCATGCAGCAGCTAGCAGCAAGGCCCATTGACGTCGCCGCACAGTCCAGGTACAAATAATAAAACACAACTTTGTAACTTTCTAAGAAACACACGAGTAGAAAATTGTTGTATGCAGAAGTGAGGCTACACATGGTTGCAATTACTTATTTCAAGCTCGAGCATTTAGTTTTTGATGATGTGATCACAAGATTGTGTTTTTTATGTATATTAATCTGATAGAACTATATGACACTAATGATGGGTGGCTTGGATGCAATACTTTAACCTAAAATTTAACCTGAAGAGCATCTTATGTTTGCCCTGTTTCCAGAATATTTTAAATATCTGAATGGTGTGAACAAATGAAATCAAACTATTTTTCTCCGTTGTTCTCATCGGGGTGTCCTCATAGTTCTCTAAGCAAGAAATACGATCCAGAGAAGCAAAAGTCAAGTTCATCTGTTTTGAGTTGCAAAAGTAACTAGAAGCGATCATTTTTTATATTTATATTTAGGATCCTTGGGTTCATAGTTGTTGTACACCTTCTTCTCAATATTTGACAAAGTAATAAAAGATGGTTGATAAATATGTTGCTCTGAACCTTGGCTTATCAAGTGGTGGAGCTTTGAGAGGGCGAACCTGGGCTGTAACCCCCCTCCCCTACCCAGCAAAAGGCAAAAACGTTAGTACCCCACTGCAATAGGATGGTAGCACTGTAGCCCAGCTCATTTTCTTGGAGATGAGCACTCCACCAGACTGTCTCTCAATGTCTCATTTTTGTCTCCTGTAGTAAACAACTTTGGCAATGCTCACAGTAGGCAGTGACGCCATGTGGTGGTGTGGAGCGTCGGGGGTCGGTAAGTAGAACATCATCAACTCTGCCTCACCTCTTCCACTCGTGCTGTCCAATGGTACCCTATTGATGTATTGTAGTGCAGTCTTATTCTTTTGATTTTGCTTTTTTGTTTAGTTTTAACTCATGTTGGGAAAAGTTCTAATTAGATCGAACTTTTCACTAAATGGAAAGGTCAAACTCCATGGTTAAGTAGTATTTTGGTACTTCCCGCGGTAGAAGGTTGTATTTTGGTAGTGATCTATTTTGGAGAAGCTTTTATATGTAATTGGTGTTAGAAATGTACTCCCTTTGTAAAGAAATATAATAGTAAGCAGATAGGATCGATATACTTAACATGCTACAATTTCTAACTTGTGGTTGTACTTTGGTATTCCAAAAACGAAATCATATCATTAGAGAGGCTAGAGTTTGTGCAATGTAACTACTAATATGTTGTATGAGAAGTTTCAGCAGAGGCTTGTTGAGCAGATGCATAATATTAACTCGGGATTTTGACTTGCAGATGTTCAATCTGGAGGATTTTCTCCAATGAGATGTAGAATGAAGGATTTGATGTCAAGTACGAGAATGATGCAACGATGTTGGTGGAAGGCTGTGAGGATGGGTATTGCCCACTTCAAGGAGCAGGCAGATGATGTGCCTCTTAGACAAATTTCAGAAAACAACGCAAGGAAGTTTTGCTCACACAATGAACCATAATGTCTCCTCTATTTCATTAGTTACATCAGTTTGTAGGAAACATGGATGGTCACTGGTTCATAGCAGATGAACTATTTATATGTGAAAATTAATGTGTGTTACTATTGTTTGGTTTTGATTTATTATTTGCTGGATGGCAACCATGTTACTGTTATGAACTATGCAACTTGACTGATATTCTGTTGGTACGTGAAATCTGTATGTGAGGGCAATTGACGTTGGTATGTGAAATCTGTATGTGAGGGCAATTGGATGTTGGTCGGCAAAACAATTCCTGTCCAACTGTCAGTCGGGAAAGCCCATGAAAGGCCCAACGGAATGTCGGTCAGGAAAGATTTCCCTGACAGATAGTCGGTCGGGAAAGGTCCATGTCAGCCCTGTCGGATAGTCGGTCGGGAAAGAATACCTGTCAGATAGTCGGTCGGGAAAGGCCCATGGTAGCACCCACGGACTGTTGGTCGGGAAAGGCCCATGGCAGGCCCAAAAGAATGTTGGTCGGGAAAGATACTCCATAGCCGACAAGTAGTCGGTCGGGAAATATATGTCGGTCGGGAAATGGCTTTCCCGTCTGGACTTTCCTCGACAAACATGATTGGTCGGCAATACTGGTCGGCAATACTCTTTCCTGACTGACTGTTTGTTGGCAGAACTTTTATTCCCGACCAATTTGGCTGTTGGGATGTAGTGATGTGGTGTAGTGTGAGTGATTGCTTATGTGTGGTTACTATTTCTTGATCACGATAGATTGAGCGGAGTGTGACGAGTAGAACTATCAAAAGTTATGAGTGCGAATGATCTTCATCAACAGTACAAGGCAAGTTCACACTTTGATCATATCCCTTTCATACCCAGTTTTTATGCATTAGTTTCACCCTCAAACATTGCATGGTTAGGATTTGATAACATGTGGGATTGGGAAGTAGTTGATGTGGTAGAACCTATTGCCCTGTTATTATCAAACTCTTGGGAGTTACTTCTACATATTGCTTATATTTCTATGCTATGCTCATAGACGTGGATTGGGTTTGAGTGAAACCATGACAAATGTGAGATTGTTAATTAATGGTTCAACTTAAGGTGGCAACTTAAATACACATCTGGGTGGATTGCTTGTTGGGCACCTGGAGAATCCAGTGTTGTCCTAGGTTATCCCAGAGTACCCATGTGATAATCCTACGGTCCACCACCCAGGCTCAAAGGGAACTGTGATATTTCATGCTAGAAACTTCTGTGTGCAGCCACAAGCTATTATGGGCTCTAGCATAGTTGAGTAGGTTGTGTGAAGCTCTTGAAGGGATAGACTAGCAGGTAGTGGGTTGTAGGTGGTATAGTCTATCTGGAGTAGAGAGTTAATGCTTGTGAAAAACTGTGTCTCAGTCATCCGTTTCTCAAACATCATGTAGTGCGAGAAATCCAATGGAGGAGATCGAGTCTTGTGGGGAAAAGTGCGCAAACCTCTACAGAGTGTATAAACTAATCATGGTTAGGCGTGTTCCCGGTTATGGACAAATCTTGAGTATCTAGTCCTTGGGTTATTATATGTATCACATCACTCTAAATTAATATTGTTGGGTTTATAATTACTTTTAATTGGGATTGAGTTGGAGGAACCTTCTCAATGATGTTTCAACTACCATGATAGTTAAATAAAATCTATTCCTTTGTTGTAGGGAAAAATTGGCTTTTCGCAAAAACATTATAACCATAGAGCCTTTCCACCAGCCAAATATGCATGTAGTGATAGCCTTTATTCATCATTATCCTGTGGTGTGAATTTGCTAGTACATTCAATGTACTGACCCTTTGTGGCTGCAACGTCTCATGTTGCAGGATTCTTACGACGAGTAAGTGATGCGTTAGGGTTATGATTTCTACACTCAACTTCGCCGTTGGTGTTGACGGGAATCCACAACCTTGTTGTTACTTCCGCTATTTGGATTGAGGTAATAGTATTTACGTTACTTTATACATGTGATTTACCTCTGTTATAAATCCTCGAGTACTGTGTGTGTCAGCATACCGATCCAGGGATGACACTTAAGCACAGAGACTTGACCATCTGAGGTTGGGTCGCTACATCTTTCCTCCACCTCATCATTTATCCTATGTGGCATCCCTACAATAGAACCATTGTACATGCCCTAATCCCGAGGAGAGAGAGGCATTGACAAAGTCAAGGAGTGGGATCTGCAGGAGCCCGTCTCTACACGTGCTCCTAGGTATAAAAAACCAATTCTATGAAAAAGAGGCATAAAAAACAATTATGTCTAAAAAAGAAAGGTAAGAAACATTTGAGAGGAAATAGATAGAGAGAAAGTGAGAAAAAGTTGTAACCTTATAGCCAACCTTATAGTCAACACTATGGTAGTATTACATCAGGAAGGAGGGAGTGGTGCACATGACAAGTTCACTGTGTTGCCGTGTTTCACACTCCTCCGTCGTGACAGTGGAGACAATAGCTTTCATCAAAAATAAACAATGAATATTCATTGCTCGTCCACTATATCGGAAAGAATACTTTCATTCACCGACATGTGGGACGTCGACCATACTGGTCCACCTGCCATGCACAACATTATCCTAGTCCACACCGGTCGTAGCGCAGGCCCAACCTTTCCCACTGTAAGTTGGTTGGACGAAGGAACCATCATGACTTCATTGAATTCCGCTTCTTCAAGAAAACTTACTGTACCCGCAGTACTGCTACCACACGCGAAGACTGGACGGCACTGTACCACGTCATATCACTGAAACCAGGCCAAACTAGTCGCGCCTAGGATTTGTACTCCCTCCGTTTCAGGCCTCCTTTGGTTCATAGGATAGACATTTTATAGGAATAGAAAAATCATAGGAAGTGAGATGACATGCATCTCAATTCCTGTAGAGGAAGAGATGTCTTTTGGTGCATAGGATATGAATTTTTCCATTGAGTCTAGGCTAATGTTTTTTCCCTCCAAAATGTGAAGGATTGATTCCTATCCTACATAGAAATAGGAATCCATTCCTACAAACCAAAGGGCTTCAAAGGAATTTTTCCTTTGCAAATCCTATCCTACAGAATTCCTATAAAATTCCTATAAACCAAAGGAGGCCGAATGTATCAGTGTCGACTATTGCCTGATCGATCGCTAAGCCTACAATTTTAGGAGCTTGGGCTATTGGCCGATCGACGACGGATCAGTATAAGCGTACCATGAGCTCATCAGCCACAACGTTTCTTTTTGGTGAGTGTTTTGCAAGTACTATAGCTCGCACATTAACTAGCCTACTAACACCAAGAATCATCAAACAAGCCCTGCTGATATGATAAACAGTTCAAACTTACATCTAAGCATGCCATATATCACATCCAAAGCTGATGAGGATACATCTGTTTCCACAACTCGGAGAGGGTTCGCATGATTCACTATCAAATAAAAGTAGCAAGTACCGCCCACACAAGAGAGTGCACTAGCCCTAAGAT